ACTGCTGGACTCTGTGGTGTCAGTAAGCATGCAGATAAAGGGCATCCCAGGAACATAATGGATTTAAATGTTTTGAAAAGCCTTTGACAAGGTTCTATATCAATTCTTACTAAAAAAAAAATACTGGAGGGAATGTTCATTACTAGTCTTGCAGCTGGCTAGAGTTGAAAGCCAAATAGGGTATAGTGAACACTTTTTTTTGAATGGCACAGTCAGTAGTCATATCCCTCAGGGATTCATGCTGGGAGCAATTCTGGTCAACATCTTCATTCGTGACCTGAAGAAGGTAGTGAACAGAAGTTTGTGGACAATGCTAAGTTCTTCTGGGTAGTCAAATGCTATACCAAGGAAAGGAACTCCAAAAGGACTCATAAAACGGAGTGGGTAGGCAAATTAGTGGTAGAAGAGCTTCAAAAGCAAAACAAAGCATCTAGGTAAAAGTAATCTAAACCTTCTTTACACAGTATTGAAGTGAGTCACAACACAGGAAAAAAGTCTTGGAGTCATCATTGGCAGTTCTCTGAAATCATTGGCTCAGCACAAGTAATTTTCAAAAAAGCCAACAATGTCATCATCACCATATCACCAGGAAGGGTATTGAGAACAAGACAGAGGAGATGTTTTGTCACTATACAAAACCTTGGTGTGCCCATATCTTGAATATTGGGTAGAGCTTTCGTGTCTGCATCTTAAGAAGGAGTAGTGAATTAGAGATGATACAAAGATGGGGAATTAATGCTACAGGGCATGGAGTTGCTGCCTTAAAAGGAAAAATTTAGACATCTGGGATGCTTCAATTTGAAGAGGAGAAGGCTGAGGTGTAGATGCAACAAAGAGTTTAGTGGATAAATGAAAGTACTTCTTTACACGTCAGGTTTGAACCTGTGGAGCTTGTTGCTGCATGTGGTTGTGAAGTGGGCAGTATCAGCAGGTTCAGAAAGGGATTAGACACATTCATGGAGAACATGGATACTAACAGGACTGAGCCAGGGATAATACCTTCTGATATTCCCTAGTACAACAATTATGGATGCTGGAGAAGTATGAGGGGAAGATACTGTAGGGAGCGATAGGCTCATGTGCTCTCCCTAAACGCCATCTCTTTTTGCTACTCCTGGAAACAGAGTGCTAGGCTACAGCTACCTCTGTGATCCAGTACAATATTATTTCTTATGTTCTTATGTTTTGGTTGTTTAATGAAGACATTTGCTCAGAATTTTAAATGGACTTGGGGCAAGAGGCTGACTGAGTTTGTCCAAGAGAATGGCTTCTCCTAATTGTGATCCATTGGTATTGCTCAGTGCCAGAAAAGAAGAGTAGACTGAGCCTGTATTTTACTGGTATCATATACATCTTCACTTCTTCCAGTTCCTTTGTATCCAAAGTTAGCCAATCAAAGTGATGGAGTACTGTAGTTTAATGAGTAACCACATTTGAGCTGATGCACGGTGACCGACCAAATGCAGCAATTACCTGCCCCTCTTGCCAAGTAAAACACAGTAGCTTAAACCATGATTTAGTCTGACAAATGATTTGTGGTTTAAGCCTAGTACCTTTTGATTCACAGACCAACATACAGTCAGTTACTGCAATTTGGGTGATGAATGTTAACTCATTAGGCTCCAGTACTGAAATTTTTTCCAGCTAAAATCTCTACCATTCTGTGCACTTTTTTATAATTTCCTCCCCCTTTTATCAGGCTTTTTCTTCACAGTATTCAGCACTTTAGCCTTACTTAGGAAAGGACTGTGTGTGTTTGAGAATTAGAAGTGGGTATAACTTGCTAGGGCCCAGAACTGCAGATTCAACTCAACAAATGCTGTTTAGATCACTTGGTGTTTTGGTAACGGATGTAATGTCAAAGCCACTGATGCAATGAAACACACGTGCAGTCTTGGCTGTGGAAGCAACGTCTGACAGAGATGGATCAATGACTGCATAGCTTTTAAAGGGAGTCCTTGTCAACACAAGTGCAACAGAGCACCATCCCCTCTCTATCCGTGACTAGAAGAAAGGAATGAGAAACCACTTTGAACCAGATGGTGATTCCTTCTAAATGAAATAGGGGTCTTGAGATTAGTATTTTCTATGAAGTTCAGTTTACTCTTTGTGTAGAATCATACAATCATAGAATCATTTAGGTTGGAAAAGACCTTTAAGATCATTGAGTCCAACCGTTAACCTAACACTGCAAAGTCCACCACTAAACCATGTCACTAAGCACCATGTCTGCATGTCTTTTGAATACCTCCAGGGATGGTGACTCAACCATCTCCCTGGGCAGCCTGTTCCAATGCTTGACAACCCTTTCGGTGAAGAAATTTTTTGTAATATCCAATCTAAACCTCCCCTGG